CCCCCCCCCAATAGAAAGCTGGCTACGGGCCTGTATATATATATATCAAATATTCGGAGTGTTCAACCCTCTTCTTCCTCTTCCTCCTCTTCTTCTCCTTCCTCTTCCCTTCCTTCTTGTTTTTCTTATTTTTTATACTTATTGTGATTCTTCTCTTCTCTTTTCTTCTTCTTCTGCTGCTGCCGCTGCTCCTCCTCCTCTTCCCCTGCCTCGCCCCTCTTCTGTCTCCTTCTCCTCCTCCTCCTCCACCTCCTCCTCTTTTTCTTCTACTTCTTCTTCTTCCTGCCCCATCTAAATCCCATCTAATCTTTCCCATTGCCACTCCTTCTTCTATTTCTCCTATTTCCTCTTCTCCTATTCCCTCCTCCATTTCTTCCTCCTGTTTCCACTTTCTGCTGTTTCTTTATCTTCATATTCTTCTTCTACCACCGTCGCCGCTGCTACCGCTGCCGCTGCTGCTGCTGGTGCTTTTATCGTTTCTTTCTCATCTTCAGGGAAGTACACTATCTTTCTATCTATCTATCTATCTATCTATCTATCTATCTATCTATCTATCTATCTATCTATCTACGTACGTGTACTACTCTAGGACCCTACTCTAGACGGATTGGTCACTTTAATATTTATGTTTACGAAAAACTCGCTCGATGGCGCCACCAGTTGTTTATAAAATCGCGGGATATTTGTGATTACGTACTTGGATGCTTGGATAGCGGTCTGCTAGAGAGTACAGTACTTGCCACTTGGATCCAAACACCTTTGATATTGAAAGATGTGATATCGAGTTATTTATGACCACAGAAAACCACAGAAGAACCAACTTACCTAGGAGTTTGTATTTATTGCTAGTTTCTTTTGCTGCGAGAAATGTGACGCACATAGAATCTTTACTTGGTTTCCCTGACCAGGTACAGTAGTCAGTTAGCCCGACCAGGCTGTGCGACGGATTGTCTATATCCGTATTGTATAGGATTGTAGGGTATCCTACCTTACCCTATTTGGCGATAGGGCCTACCCTATCCCTACCCTACCCTACCCTACCCTACCCTACCCTATCCTATCCTACCCTATTGTCGGATTGTAGGGTATCCTAACCCTAGCGATACCGTTTCTTGGAGCTAAGTAGTTCCGCGATACAGCTAGCTATTATGGTCAGGGGCGTAGATAGCGGGGGGATGGGGGGGATGCATCCCCCCACTTATTGACGTGGGGGGATGGCGTGTACAATCATCCCCCCCTACTTTCAGGAGGAAAATGGGGGATTCCAAATTTTCTGGGGAAGGACCCGCATACCCCCGCATGTTTCTTACCACCCTCCTCGAAATCCTGCATTGGCCACTGTCGAGCGTAACAAATTTAGCACCCCCACTTTAAAAATCGTTCCGCGGCACCTGTAGAGTACTGCTAACAAAGATTATGATTATGAATATTTGTATCAAGAGCAGATAAAGAAACCTTCTTTATCTGCTTTTGTTTGTATGCATATCAAAAGTCAAATTTGAGTTCCTCTGACAGGGGCGTAGATAGCGGGGGGATGGGGGTATATCCCCCCCACACTTATTGAGGTGGGGTGGCTTTCATCACCCCCTACTTTCAGGAAGAAAATGGGGAAAAATTTAATATTTTACAGACAACAAATACTGGATATTTATCTACAAATCCGTCATCGCTATTCATACTCTCCTAATGTATTATTACAGAAATGGAACGTGACATACATCTACTGTAAAATGGCTGTAATTCGTTCCAAGAATGACATTATTTTACTGAAGCTCAGACGGTTAATTTTGGACGCATTCCCCATGCATATACGATTTTTTTTTCAAAATCCCCAAATCACGTCTTATCACTAAAGTTAAATCCTTGCTTTATTCAAAATTAGAATAGACCTATTGAGAGTTGGGATATTGAATTTTCAGGGGGGTTGAATGGGAAAATTCAATTTCATCTCACTTTTTGGGAGGGGGGATGGGGGTGCTGAGACCCGACAGGAAGTATATTCCCGATTTTGTATAAGGGGTGAAAATATGCACGATTTGGTTCAAATCTGGTTGTTTTTCGCATATTCCTTTGCAGTTTTAAGGTTCTCACTTCTCAGTAAAATATACGTTTTATCAAAATTTCAGGGGGAGATGATTCCAGTGCTGTAGTTGTCAACGGGGGGTCAGTAGCACAGGGGACGGTCGCCCCCCCCTAGAATTTTCAGGGTAAAGGTATTTTAGCCTAGGTAAGTCTGCACTGGCAACCCCAGTACAGCACAGATTTGGTAGTAAGCATTTTAGTCTTTGGTGTCCCCAAAGGTAAAAATACTCAACTCAACAGTGATGTTATTGTGATGAAGATTGTTTAATAGTGCTGCCTCAAAGTGCAGGAAATTGCATCGCAGAGGTGTTACTTTCAACAAAATTTCCGGGGGAGGTCCCCTGGACCCCCCCTAAACAGGAGGGGGACACCCCCTAAAGGAGGAAAAATCCTGATATTCTATGATAAAGATGTCCAAAATTGATTGCTTTTAGATTGCAACTTTTTAACAATTCCACACAGTGCGCGCTTCGTGCCCTTGAGCTCGCATGATTCGCCCCCCCCCCTAGAATTCACTTCTGGATCCGCCACTGGTTGTGTGTGTGGGGGGGGGTGCGTGTTATTAAACCTCTGGGATCCAAAGAAAAAAATTACCCTCGAATTCAGCCAAACATTTCTTGCTCAAAAAGACATTATCGTAGGCAAATGTTTCCATTGAAATGTTTGGCAATGTGGGTGAAAAAAGTGCGAACAATGTTTGCTGAAGATCGGAATGTTCTGATATCTCAAACATTGGATTTCGTCGATGTTCGTCAATGTGCGCCTGAATGTCGAACAATGTCCTAGGAACATTTTGTAAAGTAGATAACCAATAGGCAGCACGATATGGTGGTCACAATGATTTTTGTGCCCATCATGCGCCGTCACGTTGAACTCTTTACACCACAGGCTATCTAGACGGACGCACGAGGTTGTTGCGTGACAAAATGTTCGGCAATGGTGCGCTCAGGCAACTTTGTTCACCCGATCAGCCGAATCTGGTCCCAAGACACACACACCACATTCGTTCGGAAACATTTGTTCGGGAAAACTGTTCAGGCAATGTGCGCAAGCTTAAGCAACGTCGATTGCGTAGACACAAGATTTACGCAATATATTTTGCGTACGCAGCTTGATGAATCATGAATCTACCCCCTGCACACCACCCGTCAGTGCAAGCGCACCACTGGGTATCAAGAGTCTACAGTTCGCAGTGGCCTGCTACGAGGGGGGGGGGGGTCCAGGGGGTATCGGAGCTCCGCCGCTCTGCTGCAGCAATAGAAACGTCAATCTGAGGGGGGTTAATTGTCAAAAAATGTTCGGCGGGGACGGGCCCTCTTCCGGCCTTCGTCTAGTTTACGGTTTACGGGTCTAGCCCCCCCCCCCCGCGGTAACAAATCCTGTTACACGCCCCTGGTTCGCCCCCCTAAAAAAATACCCTGGCGCCGCCCCTGTCTAGGCATATATATATATATATATATATATATATCAGGCAGTAGTTAAGGGAAGTTCCCCTATTAGTCTACTCCTGATATTTATATTATCATACGTACTACTACTAGCTACTAGTACATAAATGCATGACTGACTACTTAGCTCGCAAGAACGTATCAGCTAGGGTTAGGATAACCTACAATCCCGACGCAATAGGGTAGGATGGATAGGGTAGGAGTAGGGTAGGGAAAGGTAGGGTAGCGATAGGGTAGGCCGCTATCCGCGCAATAGGGTCAGAGGTACGGATACCCTACAATCCTATAGCAATACGGATATAGACAATCCGTCGCACAGCCTGGTCGGGCTAACTGAACATACTGTAGCCTCGGGTCAGGGAAACAAGTAACAGATTCTATGGTGCAGTCACATTTCTCGCAGCAAAGCAACTAGCAATAAATAGCAAACTCCTTAGCGTAAGTTTGGTTCGTTCTGTGGTTGGCTGTGTCCATAAAATCAACTCGATACTCACACTCTTTCATATCAAAGGTTTTTGATCCAAGTGGCAAGTACTGTACTCTCTAGGCAGCCGCTTCATAGCATCCAATGTACTAATCAAAATATCCCGCGATTTTTATAACAACTAGGTGGCGCCATCGGAGGCAAGTGTTTTTCGTAAGACATAATATTAAAGTGACCAATACCGTACTAGAGTAGGTCCTAGAGGTAGTACACGTACGTAGATAGATAGATAGATAGATAGAAGATAGATAGAGTAGATAGATTAGATAGATAGATAAGATAGTGTATTCCCTGAAAATGAGAAAGAAACGATTAAAAGCAGCACGCAGCAGCAGTCAGCGGAGCGGCAGGTAGCAGCGGCGACGGTGGGATAGAAGAAGAATATGAAAGATAAAGAAACAGCAGAAAAGTGGAAACAGGGAGAAGAATGGAAAGGAGGAAAGGAGAGAAATTAGGAGAAATAAGAAGAAGGAGTGGCAATGGGAAAGATTAGATGGGATTTAGATGGGGCAGGAAAGAAGAAGAAGTAGAGAAAAGGAGCGAGGAGGTGCGAGGAGGAGGAGGAGATAGGAGACAGAAGAGGGGCGAGCAGGGGATAGAGGAGAGAGCAGCGGCAGAGCAGAGAAGAAGAAAAGAGAAGTAGAAGAATCAACAAAAGTTATAAAAATAAGAAAGAAGAAGAAGGGAAGAGTGAAAGAGAAGAAGAGGAGGAAGAGCGAAGAAGAGGGTTGAACACTCCGAATATTTGATAATACTATATACTACAGCCGCGTAGAGCCAGCTTTCTATCTGGGGGAGGGTTCGTTTTTTCAATGTTGGCACATTTGTCCTCGAGCCAGGGGCGTGTACAGGATTTGTAACGCAGGGGGGGGGGTCTACCCGTAACCGCAAATGTTGCGAGCAGCGCGAAGGGGGGTCTGGGCCTCCCCAGAGAAATGTTTTAAATTAGAATCCCCCTCAGATGGTTTTCTGCGCGAAGCAAGGGGGGGTCTTGAGCCTCTGAACCCTGGACCGCCCACCAAAACACGCCCTGCTCGGGCGCCGAAAGCGACCAGGCGAGGGAAGCCAAGCGACCGAAGCGGGGGGGAGGGTGTGGAAAGGGGGGTGCGTTTCCACTGTTCACCGCCCACGCACGAATGGAGATTTTGCAATTATGTACAACTAAAATGGAGCGACCTGAGGTGAAATTGCTTGTCAAAATGTGTATCAAATTATTATTTTTTTGGCTTGGTGGGTTGGGGGGGGGAGAGCTCGTTCTCGGGGGGGGGTTCGTTCGAACGCCCCCGAACCCCCCCTGGCTAGGGCCTGTAAATATATATATATATATAACTATATACGGTATATATATATCAACTATATATGTGATGTGGGTGTGTGTGTGTGTGCTGTGTGTGTGTGTGTGTGTGTGTTGTGTGTGTGGTGTGTGTGTGTTGTGTGTGTGTGTGTGTGCTGTGTGGTGTGTGTGCGTTGCATGTGTGTGCATGCGTAATGTGTGGGTACAGCATGCGCGCGAATGTATGTGTGTATAGGCCAAAATCAAAAACAACAAACAAAGTGCGATTCAAGATGTTAATGTCATCCCGCAATAAAAACAACTCCGAGTCCCGGCTCATCTAAACTCGAATTCTTGCAAAAGGTTAGAAGAATTTGCGCTCATTGTCGGATGTTATATCCTAATAAAATCTATACAGAAATAAGCCGTCATCTATATCATATCTAGACGGTTTGGATAATAAGTGAAGACAACACGTTGATAATGGGCTTAAATTAGCACGGAGTTTACCCGTGGCTAAGCTGAGAGGTGCGGCATTCATTATATTCATTGCTGGGGCCATTAAATTACCTCCCGCGCAACGAGGTATGTAATCGTCTGGTGCGCGCGCGCAGCCAGCGC